CAATTAGGTGGTGTGGTGGATAAAATGCTGGTCCAGGAGTCAGAAGAACCTGAGTTCAAATATGGCCTCAGATACCTCCCAGTTATATGACCCTGGGCAAGCCACTTAACCCTGTTTGCCTCACTTCTTCATCTGTAAAATGATCTGCAGAAGGAAATGGCAAACCAGTCCAGTGTCTTTGCCAAGAAAACCTCAAATGGGGTCATGGAGAATTGGGCACAACTGAAAGGACACAATAGCAGCATTCTAGTTGCCAGGAGGCACTGATGGATTAAAGGTCTTTTCCAGGGTCAAACTGGCAGTCTGTATCAGAGGAAGGAGTTGACCCCAGATCTTTCTTACACCAAGACTACCTCTCTACCACTATGTTGCTTTTCTATATGTTTCATGTAAACATCATGCATAAACTTACGTGTATAGGTAGATAGGCATTGTCTATGAATACACATTCGCTAACTCCAAAACAAGGACTCTGTAGATCTTCAGAATGTTCTCCTTATCCAACACCAAAAACAAACAAAACCAAAAATCTGGCAGAGGACTGATGAAAATCTCCTTCTTAATCTTACCCTAGCAGTATTCTTAACATTGGCATGGATCTCAGGGAGCTGCTAACTAACTCCTAAAAATGAAAACCATATCCAGAGTGCAGCAGCTGGCTTTTAAGAGACCATGTACATGCTGCAAGTTCTCTTACTTGACATTGGGATTTGTCAGCTTTTGATAATTTAGGTGTTTTTTTTTTAGCAGTCCAAATTATTGCTATAAATTTAATTAATCAATCAACATTTACTAAATACCAACTCTGTTCCAGACATTGTGCTAAGTCCTCTAATTCAATGACAGCATTCCAAATTTAATACAAAATATTATTAGTCTTACCTAATGTTTGTAGTGAGTTCTGACAAATGTACCATGGACTGTGCTTACCCTGAATTATTTTGTTCTTATCTGGTTTGGTTTTAGTCATTCAGTTCAGTACTACACAGTGTACTTATGTGGTAGTGATCATTATGGCAGTCAATGAGAATACAAAGATCAAAAGTGTTCCCTCCCCCCTTCCTCCCCACCTCACTATTTACTCTCAAGAATCTTGCTCTCTAATGGAGGGTGGAAATTGGTGATTCAAGAAAACAAATAAATACAATACAAGCAAGAAAGAGCAGAAGACAAATTGACCTAAAAAAAAATCTAAGAAGAGACAGAATATTTTCAGGTAAGGGTCGAGGTGGGGGATTGTGAAGAGGGAAGACTTCAAGGAGGAGGTAGCATTGGAGATGAACTTTGAAAGAAGAGAAGGGTTTCAGCAAATAAAGATAAAAAGTGAATGCATTCTAGGCATAGGGGACCTGCATGGATATATCGTCAGGAGAGGACAGGGTGAGATTAGGTAACAGGTTATTTGGTTCAGTGTGCTTGGAAAGTTGAATGCATGAAGGGAAATAGTAGGAAATCCAGGTGGAGGGGTAGACAGCAGCCAGATTACTGATATGCTATAAAATATAGTAAATATTCTTAAAGGCATTTTAGTGTCTTAGGAATCACACCTTAGAAATTTTATGATGTCCTGAATTTTACATGTAAGGAAACTGAGGGCATGAAATGTTAAAAAAAAAAACTTGATTACTGTGTCTTTATTAGTTTTTCCATTGTTGTTGTTGTTAAGTTGTGTCTGACTCTTCATGACCCCTTTGGGGGTTTTCTTGGCAAAAATACTGGAGTGGTTTGCTATTTCCTTCTTCAGGTCATTTTACAGAGCAGGAACTGTTATAAACATAGGGTTCAGTGACTTATCCAAGGTCACACAATTCTTTTAATAAGAATGTGAGGCCAGATTTGAACTCAGAAAGATGAGTCTTCTTGATTCCAAGCCCAGTCAGTGCTCTATCCATTGGACCACCTAGCTACTGCTCATTGACTTTACTTGTCTGGGGGTAAACAGGGTTCTGTGTACAAGAGTCTTACCCCACAACATAACTTACCTGCGATCTTTGCAGCCAAACAGTAAAATTCTTGGTTATGCTATACATGCAAGCTCATAGAAAAACCTCGAGCCTTTTCTCTACTTCTAGAAAACTGGCAGTCATTTTTACCTTCTTTCTAGGTACTACCAATCAATTTTTAAAAAATGAAAATGGTCTTAAATGTGAAAGCTGTCATATGCATCAAAGCACTCTATCGTGTAAATAACTTGGTGACAGCTTGCAGAAGTTTTCTCCTCAGAATCTACGAGGAGTTATTTTTCTCTCCTCTTCCCTGTACTTTGATTGGATTCAGTTCAGTACTTTACAGTGGGAAACCTGCTATATTTGGAGTTAGATTACCTGGGCTCAAACCCCGATCTCTGCTTCTTAATACCTGTCTAACCTTGGGCAAAATCACTTAAACCTTTCTGGACCTTAGCATTCTCACCTATAAAAGGAGACCTCTGGAGTCTCTTTCAGCATCTCTCCTGTGATCCTGTATTACATTGGTGTAAAACTCAAATAGAAACAGGACCACTAAACTATACATAAGGATCCCTGAAAGACATATGTTGACTTAGAAAACCATATATTAACATTACTTATTTTCTATTATATTTTAAAATTTTGCTTAATGTATTTATTCCCAAATACATTTTAATCTGGTTTAGCAACACTAGGAGGGTTGCTGGCAGCCCATGGTCCCTTTTTTTTTTCCTACATCTCTGTTGTATATACAATGAAAAACTGTCCTTAGATGAACAGTTGAATTCTTTATTTGATAACTACTTAATATTGAGAGACTACTCATACCCATTCCATATACCACTCAAATGATGCAGAAAAAGCTTTTGAAGTTCAGTTGTTTCACAATTAAATTTTTTAATGGAAATGAATAACTTTTGAGCCATATCTAATTTGTAGGTAATTCATGTTGGAATTATTACCTATTATAATCAAATGGTGAAATATTTCCTGATTGCCATTCTAAAACTGAAAGAAACCAGAATTATATCTCCGGAGGTTCAGAATAATCTGCCTCAATATTGCATTCTCTAGCTAGAATAAGAAAGAGAAAAGGTATAAGAAAATCAAAACATGGACCCCTTTTCAGTAAGATTGTTTTAAGTTGTTTAAGGTTTATGTTTGTGCAGACTTTCTTTATGAAAATCCTAAGAAGCCTGTATTGAAAAGTCTCTTTGCCCCATTTTGGAGATGTGGAAACTAATGTGACTTGTTCATGGTTGCACAGCTTGTAAGTGTTGGAGCTAGGATTTGGTGTCAGATTATTTGACTCCAAGACCATGTTTCATTCTGATTATTTGGAATGTCAGAGCACAGTCACTTAATGTTTCTGTTTTGCAAACTTTAATATTTACCCACATTGTTTCATACCATTCATTTTCTCCTTTGAGTAATTTCTTTCTCACGTCAATTATCTTGTCTATCCCATTTTGTGGAATCACAGACTACCTTTTCTTTACATAGAGTGGGGAAATGCTACTTTCTACTGCTGTTTGGGCAATTCTTTTAACCTCTCTTAAAGTTAACCTTTCTTGTGTTTATGGCAGCATGTAGACAAGAATTTTGGTTTTTTGTCTTCCCATTACGGTGTGGTGCTAGAGGAAGGAACCATTACAGACATCTGTGTGCCTTCTCTCTCTCTTCCTTCACAGACAGATCTTCTTGACCCATACGGTGCTTATATGTGAAATCTACAGGGCAATCCCTACCTTTTACTATCAATGAAATGCTGATACATTTGTATGGCCCATGCAGCCCGTAGGTCAAAATGCCTAAAAAGAGAATGTGGCTTGATTAACTTAGTAAAAGTTAATTTGTTTCTTACTAGTTGAGAACTATTAACTCTAGTTACCAATGTGTGGTAAAAAATGATGTTTCAGTGGTTTGAGCGGGAAGGAACCATCAAAACCTAGTTTAATCTCCTCATTTCACAGAGAAGGAAGCAAGGCCAGAGATTGCACAGGTAATTAAGGAGCTGAAGCAGGATTCCTCCAATTCCAAACCAAGTGCTCTTGCCAATGGATCTCTTATAAGAGATAATTTTAATATTATGAATAAGATCATTTTTTGAGAAGTCTTTTACATTACCAGATTTTATAGGAAAACTAAAATAATATTCTTGATAGTTGAATCACTATTGAGAATAATTGTGCCATATTCTAAAACTGACTTACCTGAAGCTGATTGCCTATTTAATTTTGAAGAGGGTCATCATTCAGAGCCTGTTGATGTTTTTTTTTTTTTGCCTTGGCAGCTTCATCCTCACAAATGAAATTACAGGTCTCTGAAGTATTGAACTATTGATGATTACATCATAAAGGGCAGAATCAAAAGCTTTGCTAACACCAAAACAGGAACTGTTTGTTATTTCCCCTTGATCTACTCATCATTTTCTTCTAGGAAATTAGACTGATTTGATAGAACTCATTCTGCAGAATGCCCTGTTGGTTATCATGCCATAACCTGTTTGCTTCAAAAGGGTCTTAAAAGTACACCTTTCAAGAGGCATTCAAGTGAAAGGTGAATGACCACTTTCTCAGGGAAAATGTAGGAGAGATTCCTATTAAGGTCAAGGTTAGACCACATGATCTTGAAGGGCTCTTCCATTTCTCAGATTCTGTTTCTTATCTCTCTGGTCAAAATCTTGAATTGGATTCATTCCTTCAGCCTTCCATACGTTGCATTTTTTTTTTCTAGAATTTGAAAGTGGTTAACACAAGGTAAAACTGTTCAACCTGAATTGACATGTTAGGTAGCAGGCTGAAAAGAGAACTGGGTTTAGAATTAGAAAGCCCACATTCTATTCCTTGCTAGCTCTGTTTCTTAGCCCTGGAGCAGCTTTGGGAAAATCCCCCTTTCTGAATGCCAGGTTTCCTTCTCTATTAAAAGAAAGTGTAGCTTAGGTAATATAGCTTCTCTGGGGGGAAAAATTTCAAATATTAAAATGTGTGTTTTGATTTTCATAACCCAACCCCCCACACATACCCATGATGAAATCATGTTGTGCTACAGTTCCAGGGAAACCCCGGCTGGTGATTAGTCACACTCAGATGAACACTGCACTCATCCAGTGGCATCCTCCTGTTGACACATTTGGCCCCCTTCAGGGCTATCGTCTAAAATTTGGTCGAAAGGACATGGAGCTGCTCACTACCCTTGAATTCTCAGAGAAAGAAGACCACTTTACTGCTATGGATATCCATAAAGGAGCATCTTACATCTTTAGGCTCTCCGCTAAAAACAAAGTGGGCTTCGGGGAGGAGATGGTCAAGGAGATTTCTGTTCCTGAAGAAGTACCCAATGGATTCCCCCAGAACCTCCACTCAGAAGGCACCACGTCAACATCAGTGCAGTTATCCTGGCAGCCACCCGTCTTAGCAGAGAGAAATGGCATTATCACCAAGTACACCCTTCTGTACAGGGATATCAACGTCCCCCACCACCCGGTAGAGCAGCTCGTTGCTCCTGCTGATACCACCATGACACTTACTGGCCTAAAACCAGATACCACATATGATGTAAAAGTACGTGCTCACACAAGCAAAGGGCCCGGTCCGTATAGTCCAAGTGTCCAATTCAGGACGCTGCCTGTGGATCAAGGTAGGATTTGTCTGCTTATGGCCTTCTCCTTGAAAGGAATGTCGGTCTTGGGATATCAGTGTTTTGAAGCTGTAAATAAACTGATCGGCCCATTCATATTAATAGGTTCAACAAGAGCACAAGGTAACGTATGTAAATCTTAATATGTTTCGGATGCTGTAGATTTCAGTTATTCCATGCCAAGCAAGTCTGGCTGACAGCCGCACATTATCTTCAGGTAAGGAAAGCACAAAGTAGTTAAATGAATTGGTGTGAAAGGAACTACCTTTGTAAGAATGGGGTATTAAAGTGAATGCCTTAAAAAGGTAGGACACCAACACTTCTCATGTGGATCAAATAGGAAGCGAGCAGTTTATCCCCTTTGGTTAGTGGTGGAAAAGGGATAGGTGGTGAGTTTTTAGAAATAGTTTGAATACATTGTTTTTCCTTTTCCAGCAGTGTTTGCAAAAAATTTTCATGTCAAAGCAGTAATGAAGACGTCAGTATTGCTGTCTTGGGAGATTCCAGAGAATTATAATTCTGCCATGCCTTTCAAAGTAAGTTGTTTTCTCATTTGTAAACCATCATGGATAAAATTAGGGGTGGTAGATCATCCAGTTTAGTTATTTGCTGAATGTGGGGGATCTTTTGCTCCTGCTATATTTAAGTGGCATGAGAATCAGTTACTGAACGTGGTCTTAGCTTTTGCCCTTTGGACTTATGAACTTGCAGATTGGATGTAAGTACAAGAGGGCAGCATTCCAAATCAGAAGGCCAGCATAGAATATAGTGCAAGATGTAAACTCAGCAGTCACTTACTACTTTGGGCTATTAGGTTCTCAACACAACAGGGAGTGAAACACAAATCGATCTGCTTTTAATACATCAAACTTGAACTTTCCTAACCTAAATCAGAACCTTTGCCTCTTCTTCAGAGAAATACATTTCCCTGCCTTCTACCTATCTGTAATTTATTTAGCTCGGGGTAGAGTAGATGAATTCACTATTTTGCCAGATTTTCCTCTACATCTCTGCTCTTTTTTTTCTTGACTCCCACTGATAAATTTCTTTTTGGCTCCCACTGGTAAAGTTCAGCAAAAAAGTTCACACACAAATGTGACACAGGGGCTAGGCTATGGCTAGGCAACCCCAATGGTCTCTTGAAGCTCTCACTGTCTTTGCTTTTGTAACTTTTTAAGATCATGGGACTTTGAGCTAAAAAGGACCCTAGAAAGCACCTACTATAAACCTATTGCATTATAGACTGGTAAATTGAAGCCTAGAAAATTTAAGTAATATATCTCTAGACAGAGAGAAAATGATGGAGCCCAGATTCAAATTCAGGTTTTTCAATTCCATATCTGGCTTTTATAATACCCTAGAGAGTTTTTTTTAAGTCTTTAAGATGAAAAAGAATGGAAACTTTTAGAAAAATCTTGGTGTGAATGATACATTGACAACTTCAAGTGTATATCTATTCCATTAACAACTTAACAAAAACCTCCATATTCACTCTATCGTAGGTGTCTGTTCTTAGGGGGGGGGGAAGTTATATAGAAAGAGAAAGATACTTAGAAAAGGATAACAGAGCCTTTATTGTTCTGAATTCAACAGAGCTCAGAATTCACATACAATCCTGTTGGGTTAATTTATATTATCACCAATTCCATTCAGCAAACTCCTGCTTTGTGGAAGTACTTTGCTAGTTTTAAGAGGAGATTCAAAGCTGAGATAAAACGTGTTTTTGGCCTTTGTGAAGCTTATTCTCATAGATATACAAGAACATGTCATTATAGATAGTCCACTTTGCGTCTCTGTTAATAAAACATTGTTGAATGGATGTTTCTGTTTAGATCCTTTATGATGATGGGAAAATGGTAGTTGAGGTAGATGGCCGGGCCACACAGAAATTAATTGTCAACCTAAAGCCTGAGAAATCCTATTCATTTGTCCTGACAAATCGAGGGAATAGTGCCGGTGGTCTTCAGCACAGGGTGACAGCAAAGACAGCTCCAGATGTCCTGCGTACCAAGCCTGCCTTCATTGGGAAAACCAACTTGGATGGGATGATAACTGTGCAACTGCCAGAAGTACCAGCAAATGAGAACATAAAGTAAGTCTGCTAAGGAAATAGGGTCAAATGGCAAGAGGGGAAAAGATGAGAAGGAGTAGCAGTATGAGAAAAGAATGAGAGCCTCTGTATTGATAAGAGGATTGCCTATTAACAGAAGGCTTCTTGAAATTAATACGTATTAATAATGAGATATCATACTATGGGGAAAATAATGGAATTTTTGTTCTTCTTGTTACAGCTATCCTGTCTGCATGTATTTAGGCCAAATCATACAGCCCAGATAAATCTATGTGCCCCCATGGAAAGTCAATTTCCTTAAACAAAAAGAAAATGGTAATTTCAACAGGTACTGAATCATATACAGAATGTAGGAATATATTTGATTTGTTCATTTTAGGCACAGTATAAGAAATCTCTTACTGAGAAATTAAAAAATATTGTTTGTAAGGTAAAGTCTTTGATAAATTTAAATCCAGGTTAACCAATGGTATGTAATTGTAGATCTTTTAAAAACTATATTGTTCAGTCATTTTTTAGTCATGCCTGACTCTTTGTGACCCCCTTTGGGTTTTCTTGGCAAAGATACTGGAGTGGTTTGCCATTTTCTTGTTCAGGTCATTTTCCAGTTGAGGAAACTGAGGCAAACAGGGTTGAGTGACTTACCTAGTGTCACACAGCTAATAAGTGTCTGAGGCCAGACTTGAACTCAGGAAGATGAGTCCTCCAGATTCCAGGCCCGATTCTCCATCCACTATGCCACCTCGCTACCCTTAAAAAAATAAATTCACCACAATATTAAACTATCGATAATTTTGGATGGCCAACAATTTTAATTATCTCCTCACCTTTATAGGCACTTGAAAACTTCAACATGACAGCAATGCTGTTGTTGTTGTTGTTGTTGGTTTTTATTTTGTTTCGTTTTGTTTTGTTTTACTACAAGTAAACATGAAGGAAAAATTATGATGAATAGTAAAAATGGTGATGGTAATGGGTGGGGGAAGAGTGAGAAGGGTCCAGCAGTCCAGAAGGTCCAGTGGTCCTACGTTGATCCTCAAAGGCAAACTGCAATCCAGGGCCAGACTGCAGTCAGAGCGTTCCTGCCAGAACCTGAAGTGCCAGTGGCACAGCCTTTGAGAACCTTTGGTCTCTGTCATGCCACAATAAGACTGATTAGAAGCAGACTCCTGGGAAGAAGCACATAAGTGTTACATTAAATATACTTAAGAGCAGAATTTGACTTTTAGCATTTTTTTATTGTAGTTTTTCCTTGGTTTTATTCTTCTCCCTGAATATTGGAAAAGAGGGAAGACTCCCCCTACCCTGGCCCAAAAAAGATGACTTTAACAGATAGCGTGCATAGAAAAAGGGGAAAATCTCAGTAATTCATTTGATTAACCTGAAGAAGAATCAGCTAATGTGCAAGAGATCCATGGCTTGAGGCAGGTTTACAGAAGGAAAGGAAAGGCCATTCCAGTTTCCTGGTGGGCTTAAATTTCATTCTGTTCCTTCTGAATGGATGAATAAATAAGTTTGTAATTCCTCTTGTGTTGGCTTCTTCCTTACTTGCCTTTATTTTTCACCTTTACTTCACTTACTGGTTGTTAGTTTTTATTTGGTTTGTGTGGAAGTGGGGAGAGATGGGGGAGGAAGCAGCAAAAAAGAGTGGTAGGGAAAGAGAGGAAAGAAAATGACCTGCTATTCCCTTCTTCTCTGTCTCTAATCGTGAAGACAGCTATGGCAGAAGACAGGATAAGAGGGAAAGGAAAGCATTCTTTTCTAGAAACAGGTTAAGCAGCTCCAGAAACTATTGCCACCTTGCCTAGGGAAGAGAAATAGTGTAAAAGTAGACTGGGAAAGCATCAGAGTGAGAAACAATATTAGAACTAAGGAAAAAGAAAGAGGAGACCTGCTGATGTCTAATGACCTTCGCTCATTTGTTAGGGGATGATCACTGGAAGCAGCCAGCTTCAGATGACTTAACATCTGTAAAGGACTTTGCAAACCTTAAAATACTTTCCACGTCTTGGCTATTGTTACTGCTTTGGATAACCTTTCTATTGACACTGACATGAGAAGGAGAGCATGACAAGAAACCTTTCCCATATTTAAGAAGGATGATATCTTCCCTCCTTCATTAGCCAGTATTTGATCATAGAAAGAAAGCAGATATTTCATTGGAGATATATACAACTATTTGCACTTTCAGCAAAACTGGTGCTAAAGTTATGGCCCTAAGCCAGCTCTTATTTAGGTGAGATCTGTCTGGCAGCCTGCCTGTAATTTTTGTGTGAGAAAAATGCAGTTTTGGTAATTGAAAGCTGCTTTGTCTACCTGCACAAACGTCTCTTCTCTTACTCCAAACTCATGGATAAAATCCATGCCAGATCCAATGGGTGGTCTTGGACACCCCATAAAACATTTTCTTTCCAAATATATGAGTGGTAAGTAGGGCTTGTTCTGACCCTGATTCTCCCCTTCCCTAAACACCCCTGTTCCCTCTAATTAGTGTGCTGTTCATGCTTATCACCAGGGGAACAAGAAAAGATTACCTTGGGCAGCACCAATATTGAAATTAGTGCAATAAGGGCAGTGAGGCCCTGTTGCTCCCAGGAGATGCCATTTTTTCTCGTTTGGTTCACAGTACTATTTTAATGGGTGGTTCTATGACTAAAATCCTGAATCTCTCCTCCCCCCATCTTCACAGCTTCTACATTTGCTACAAGCAAATGCTAGCTCTGGTGATGCTACAGCAGGCATTTGTCCAGCCCAGAGCAATCCAAGTAAAAGTATGATGGCCTTGGGATACAGGCACTGTTCAGAGGCACATAATGGGGGCAAGGCTTGGGGAAAAGTAAAGATGCAAATTATGTGAACTTGTAGGACAGTGAGAAATGGGCACTGTGTAGACTATATTTGCAGAAGAAACTCTGCTAGTGACTATGTAAAAGAAACATAATTCATAAGTGACCCATTTTTCATTCAGGGAGAACATAGCTAAAAGGCAAGAAGTAGTACTTTGGGGAAATGGTACATTGACTATTATCTTAGTTTTCAGGCTTTCTTCTTTTTTGCTTATAAGAAATGGAATTCTTAGAGGTGTGACATGATAGAATTGTGTCTGTAAAATTTGTGGACTGCTCTGGGGAGTTTAATGAGAATTCATTTGTTCATTTGCCTAATGTTTGTTAATAAAAAATACCACATATTTAGGACAGCATTTAATAATTTTCAAATAGTAGGATAGATTGCATTTAACAGTTTTCAAGTAATAGGGCACCATTTGTCAATTTTCAAAATACTTTCACTTACATTATATCATTTGGTGTGTACATCTGATCCTGTGAGATTGGAAGGGAAGTTACTCTTAGCTGCATTTCACAGCAAACCTGGGCTTTCAGTGATGCAATGACTTTTCAAAGTTACATGGCTAGTGAGCGTCTGAGAGTCAGACACAGGTCTTTAGACTGTTCATCTGCTGTGCTGCATTACTTTTCTTTTTTATTATTTTATTATTATTATTTTTATTTTTAGTCAATTGGGGTTAAGTGACTTACCTAGGGCCATACCACTAGTAAGTGTCAAGTGTTAGGTCTGAGGCCGGATTTGAACTCAGATCCGCCTGACTTCAGGGCCAGTGCTCCATCCACTGTGCCACCTAGCTGCCCCTACATTACTTTTCACACACTGTGTGAAAAACACTATAGGAGGAACTTGGATGAATTAAAAAAAAAAATCTGTGAGTCCCCAGTCACTTATGATTTTACAATACATGACTTCAATGCGTGAAGTTACAATATAGAGCAGTGTGTACTAAGTACCATGAAATGGACACAGTTAATAGTAAACCAATTAGGTATTTGTTAAGTACCTCCCAGAGTTCCTGTGAATATAAAGATAGGAATTAAACAGTGTAAATAAGATTTCAAGGAGTTTACATTGTATTAGGGAAGCCCACAGGTACATTTATCATTATATGCAAAATACCTACAAGGGAATTGGGTTGGGAGAGAAGAGGCCCTAGCAACTAGAGGAATTAGGGAAGGACCAGCCAATCTTCGAAGGAAATTAGGGATGCTAAGAGAAAGAGTAGAGGAGGGAGTATATTCTAGACATGGGGTTTAGTAAAGGAGGTCATCCTGATGCAAAGACAGAGAAATCAAAGATGTATTGTCCAGTGTGATTACCAGCCCTAATACCAATTTTTCTAGGCCATAAAGGATGGGAAGTGGCACATAGAAATGGTGGATTGTGAGCTCTTTGAGGGCAGGGACTTGGGTCTTTTACCTCTTTTTATATCCCTAGAACTTAGCACACTACCTGGCAAATAGTAGATGTGTAATAAATGTTTATTAGCTGACTGACTGAAAATAGAATCTGGTTCTGAAGGACATTAAGCACTAAACAGAGAAGTTTGTTTTTGATCTTGGAGCTCACTGGAAGCTACTAGGATTTATTAAGCAAGGATTGCCATGGTCAGGTCTCTACTTTAGAAGAATCGATTTGCATCTGTGAATGATAGAATAGAGATGGGAGAGACTTAAGGGTGAAAGTCTTTATATCTTATTAGAGATCTCTTGCAGTTATCCAGGCAAGATGTGATGAAGGCCTACACCAAGTGGCTGGCTATATGAGTAGAGAGAAAGGAACAGATGTGAGAGATATGGAGATGTAATCTACAAGATTTGGTGACTCACTGTATATGTGAAGTAAAGCAGAGTAAGGAGTTGAAAATGACATTGTGGTTTCAAAATTAGATAATTACCGGCATGGTAATGATGTCCTTAATAGAAATAGGGAATTTTGGAAGAGATGTGGGTTCTGGGGAGATGATAATAGATTCTGTTTTAAACATATTTTGTTCATGATAACTATGGGACATCCAATTTGAAACATTTAACAGGAAGATTGGAGCTCAAGAAAGGGACTGTGGCTAGATTTATAAATCTGGAAATCATCTGTATAGAAATGAAAAACACAGGAGCTGATGTTTTTGTTTTTTTGGGTTTTTTTAAGGCAATTGGGTTAAGTGACTTGCC